CTGTCTTCCAAGGAGATTCCAGTCATGATGGTGAGTCTTTGAGGCAGATGAGGGCAGGGCAGGGCAGGGGAGGTGTGGCTGTGCGGTGGGGGTGCAGAGGCCCTGGGTATGCATGAGTCCTTCAGGGCCTGAGCTGCCTGGACGCTTGCAGCATAGCCACTAGCTGCAGGGTTCAGTGGAATGAGCTGGGGTGGGGTGGGATTAAAATCAGGGGGTGGGAGAGAGAGCCAGGCCATTGCATGATCCTGAGGACCGAGAGTGTTCTGGAAGTGATGGAGGCTCAGCAGGACCCATGCAGAGGGCCCAGTGACCATGCTGGGCAGGTGGAGCAGGGCACCAGCTATGCTGGGAAGGTGAAGGGGCCCCATCACCTGTTGTTTGTTAAAGGCAGGTGTTTAGGGGGAAGTGCAGTCACGCTCTGTGTGCCATGATGCTCTCACGAGGAATGTAAATGTGGTGCTGCATTTTTGAATGTTGACACATTCCCTTTGATGTTCACCACTACGGTCCCTCAGCTGTTATGTGACCCATGGGGCTCAGCACACAAGCATAGTCCAGGGGCTCCTCCCAGCCTTCAGCCCATCGTCCCCAGCCCATGTCCCCTCCGAGCATGGCAGAGCCTCTGGGTGGCCCTTAGCCACCGAGGCTCTCACACAGCTTGGGAGGGGTGCTCTCGCTAAGCTCTGACTCTTTCCAAACACCATAAACTTGGTTTATTCTCTTGTCTGACAGAAATGGTGCTATTTACGTCCAGAGAAGAACCCTTTTGTTCCACTTCAGCTGAGTTATTCCAGGGACACTGCTTAATGGTTTGTTTTTGTTTCTCTGTGACATTGGGGCAGGGAGGATACCCTCCCAGCACAAGGACAGGTGCCTGGGCAGTGGGTCCCTGCTCCCCCAATCCAGGGAGGGGCCACACAGCTGCTGAAACAAGGGAGGTTGCCCTAGGCACAGAAGGAAGCCTGGAAATCAAGAGAGAGCCCCACTGGCACAAGGGAGGTACGAAGTCTCCTATGACAGACACAGCAGTGAACCCGCAGAGCACATGTGGCAACAGGCGTGGACTCTCAGGGACTTGATATTAGGTGGGGAAAGCAGGACGCTGGGGACCAAGAGCACAGGAGAACACACACTCATGTCAAGTCCAAAGGCGTGGCATGGCACACGGGGATGCCACAGTCTGTAGTGGGGCCTTGAAGGTCACAGCCAGGGTGCACTGGACGTCCAGCAAGACTTGTATCCTTGGAGGCTGGATAGCACAGGCAATGATGCACTTCCCCTAAACTATATGCAAGGCACGGGCTTTTTATTGCTTCATTAGTTGTCAGATCTGACATATGTCTGCTAAATATACCTTTGTGTCTGTTCAATATTTAATAAAACAATTTCTTAAATCGAGAAGGGCATTGCATTAAAAGTAAAAGAGACAATTTGATGCAAAGTAGTGCTGGGTAAAGAATGGGTCATTTATATTGCAGTATTTCTGATTCAAAGAGCAATTAGTAAACTACAAACATCTGTAATAAATATATTGCGCTAAGTGCACATTAAGAAAGTGAGACGGGGCATTATCCTGTGGAGAGCAAAGAAAGAAAAGTCCAGATCTAGAAGGAATGTATTCTGTACGCAGTGGCACTGTGATATTTTATTCTGCACATAGTTTGCAACAATGACTATTGAAACCATGATCCTGAAAACCGAAACTATCTGCCCCTGCCCTC